CTAGGATTCACTAGGCTATTTGAATCTGTGATTTCAAACGCTCAGCCATCTTCTTCTCCATTTTTCTCTCCCCTCCTGGGATTTCAATTAAATGTGCAGTAAACATGCTCACTCTATTCATTGTGTCTTTTATCCTCCCTTTAAATTTTTCCACATAATTTGTCTCTTTAGACAGAACTGTGGGCAATTTCTGGTAGCCTGTATTCTAACCCCCTTTTTTTTCTTAAAGAATCATTTTTACTCAACTTTATTTATTTATTTATTTATGTATTTTAATGTGACCAGAGAGGAACAAAGTGAAACAGAGAAAGACGGAAAGTGAGAAAGCAAGCCACCAGGTCTGGGACTTGAACCATAGTCAGCCATGTGGGAGTCCAGCGCCCTTATCCTATTATAATATGCTGGTATATTATTGAAAATTTATTTATACAAATTGGCTGGGATATTTTCAAATGCCTGGGGATGTTACTTGTCCAAGGCCACTTTAATCCAAGGTCAGGACTTTTGGCTCCTTGGACTCCCCAGGTGATGGGTATCAAGGCTACAAGGTCATGAAAACGCCAGTTACTTGTGGGCCACTATTATCCCAAAGGAGTGGCTACTCAGATAAAAGTGGCGGGAAAGCATATGAAATCCCCTGCTTGTCTGGGGCCTGAGCTCTGACTTTGGTCCCCTTTGCCACCAAAACCACAGCTCAATTACACAACTCTTTCTTTCATACTCAGCAAATGCCTTCAGGGCATAAAAAAAGCTTCTAGTGTTGGCTTTCCTTCTGCGGATTCTTATCTTTTTTATATTTGTCTCATTATCTTTTTTAAGTTTTATTATTTTACTCATGATAGCAAGCACATGTGCACGAGAGAGAGAAGCACCCTTGACAGGGTCTCTTCATTCTGTGATCCTGTTTTCTCAGCCCTCCAATTCCTCAGGATTTGGGGCACGTGCTCACACCCAGTGTTTTCAGGACTACAGGGGGATCCCAACCCATGGTCTCCATATGATTTCCAGCCACAGCCTAGCCTCAATGTGTCTTAGCTCTTCCTGATGATGATTTCTCTCTGTATTTCATCCAGCTTCTGTAGTTATCGTCACCGTAGCAGAGCAGTTGTGTCCAACAACCCGTAACTGCTCTCCTTGTTCCCAGCTCCCTTCCTTCTAGCTGCTCCCTTACAAAGTAACCAAAAAATTCTTCCAAGGTGCCACTTTGACTGTTTCATCCTCTCACAGAAATCCTTTAAAAGCTTATTTCTGGCACTAACATAAAAGTCAGATACCTCATTTTGGATAATTAGGTCCCCAATTCTCTTTCTTGTTTTGTTTCATAATTTTGGACAACTAGGTCCCCAATTCTCTTTCTTGTTTTGTTTATCAATTAGACAAGCATTTACTGTGCACTGAGTGTATGGCATTCACTGGGCCAGGTTCTTCCTAATCGCTTGCCTCTTTACATCTTGTTTCACCTCCAAATTTACCCCATTCTCCAGTCAAATTGTGTGGCAGAGTGGTGTCAGAATACAGATGGGCTAACTTCTAGGTCAGTGCTTTCTCATACCATGATCCTATATTAAGGTTTAAGTTAATTCAATCTGGACATTTATGTATATTCTAATAAATTAACTAGATGAAGGTTCAACGAGTAGAGATTATGGCAGTATTCTGTATTTCTTGTATTTGGGGATATTTTTGTCTTGCAAATCAGAAATTTCAGTAAAGCATTACCTTTAGGGAGAGCAGACTTGGAGGAAGACACTCTGGGAGGTGAGGTCTAGAAGTGAATTCATCATTGCCACCAACTTTTTGGCGATCTTCATAGTCGCAAGAGCACCTAGGAACAAAACTTGGGGCGTTAAGCTTGTCCTCTCTGACAAATGAGGGATGGGACTACTGTTCGTGGTTTTGATTCCTCAGTGCTGGGAGTATCCCCATGCAAACAAATCTACTTCCACCTGCTGGTGGCTGCCTGAAGTTTCAGTCAAAGCTGGCATGCTGTTCTGGAAGTAGGCAAACCTGGAAGTAGATTTTCTAGTTTTAGCCTCTACTACAAGACCTTCAGCCAATCCTTTTCTTTCTCTGAGCCTGTTTCCCTAAATTGCAATCCAAGTGGTGGACAAAATGACCTGGAATGGCTCTACCATTTTGGGCAAGCAAGGATTGTCTCTACCAGGACATCTGAATGACTAAGGATGATGAGGGAAGGACTAAGAGGCTTAACTGACTTACTCTTCTAGTGACAGTGATGTGTGGTTCCCACCATCCTTTTTTCTCCTGTATCCATGTGGGAAGGGCACCATTTGCTTCAATGGTGGGGGACAGCAAGCAGAAGGGAAAAGAAGGTGCCAGGGTGCTCTGAGGCTTCACCAAGTACTGAGGGAAAGGGGAAGGCAGAGTGTGTTTCTGCATGAGCATCTTGTTAACCATGGGTGAACTGGAAATCCACTGGACTGCAACCTTCCTCACTGGTCTAAGTTAGGAAGTGATGCTCAGGTAACATAACTGAGCTCTATCTGTTGAGTACCCATCTGGTGCAGGGACTCTGGTCAGTCTTCTTTCTGAACTTATTCAGTCATAGACCTAAGATGGGTAGGACAGAGGGGATGCCTTATCCTTTGAGAGCTTCATGTTCCACAGTACCAGAAGAAGTATGAGTCCTCTAGTCAAAATGCCAGGTGTTTCCATATAGGGACCAGAAGTAGATGTATCGGCATGGCCTGGTCCCCAGGGCCTACTCCCTGAACATCCCAAACACTGACCTTTGCCTTCTTTGACCCTCTGTGGTGTCATTTCCTGGCTATGGGACAAAGTAGTATCTCAAGGACTCCGAGGCTGGTAAACCCTTCTAGTTCTCTGAGTTTCCTTACCCAGAACCCAAGCTTGGGGCAAAAAGCACTCTGGGAAACAAGTCTTCAAGCAACTCCTGAAGCCCTGTTCTCCTGAAGCCTAGTTCCCATCTTGATGGAGATGCATGCCTGCTGTGGCCAGAACCCTACCATAAACCCCACTGGATAGCCCCTTCGCCCCACGGAGAGGCGAGGCAAGAGGGGTTATTGAAGATGCGCGGGTTTGGGAATGACCAGCAGTCAGTGAGGTATCTCCTGATCCCTGAGGTGTACAGGCCTTTCGGAGTGCCGATTCTACCAGTCAAATCACCTCACCTCCTTCGTCAAACATGCGAACTCTTGGGCACAAGCTCTTCGGAGAGAAACGGGCAGCAAGCACCTCAGGCCCAGCCCTCCGGAAGCTGCTCGCCCCCGCCTGGCCCCGCC